AGGCCCACTTACAACGTCTCAGTAGCAGTAGCCAAAAGGAAGTTGGTTTATAATGAATTTCCACAAGAGTGGATTACTGGGCATTGATATGCGGTTTAAAAAGATTTAAAGGGCACCTCAGAAACACGTTCCGTCGGTAATGAACCTATACTATCATATGGCTTTTCTTAGTACTACGTGATATACTTGTGTTTGTTTATACTTTCACTGTCTGCCTTCCCATTGAGTACACGGAAACAAGCACCTTCTTATTCATGCCCTGGGCTCTTTCCCAGGGCCTGTACCTAGCTTTTATCTTGGGGGCAGTTTTGTTTTGTTTTAAATAGGACCTCGCTAAGTAGTCCAGGCTGACCTCGAACTCATAGCGATCGTCCTACCTCAGTCTTAAATATTGAGATTATAGGAGTGGCACTAGCACACCCGACAACCTAGCTTCCCATTACAGCTTTGCTGAGAAAATAAATGACACTTTATAGCCAAGAAAACTGAAGCTCAGAACAGTTGATTTGCTCAGAATCAGAGGTTGATCCAGATTTTGGACTGGTTTTTAATCTAGATATTATTTGTATATTTAACAAATACTACTTATTCTCCCTAACCAAGCAGGGATTTGATGGTGAGCAAAACCAGACACATTCTTTGACCTCTTCAATTTCCAGTCTGGTGGCGCGGGCAAAGAGGACACAATGACACAAATCCCTATTTAATCACAAATCAGATTGAGGGCACCTGCATCATGTGAAGCAAGGTCTTAAAGGTATCTTCTAAGGCCTCATGGCACTTGGTTAGGTATTGAAGCTCAGTAAGACCTTCAGAGGAGTGGGCCGGAATGTATCAACCCACTGGGAGGCACCTCAGTATTTCACCTACCAGTGCCCTGAGCTTTATGGCTCTCCAAGGGACTATCACAAGAAATGACCTTCAGCAGTGTGGGAAGAAGACTTCCCTGAGGTGACACTTATCCTGAAAGGCGAGGAGTTACTTTGGCAAAAGGGTTGGGGGAGGAAAGGAAAAGCAAGAAGCAATAGCAGAGATCTCTGTAATGAAATGATTATAGCAACAGTAGTAATATCAGCATCACAGTAAATTGATACAAAGCATCAATAGTTGATTAAAGATATTCATAAATTCTTCAGGGCAATATCTGATACCTTGATTTTGTACAAGAAAACATTAAAGTTCCAACAGGCTAAATAAGTTTCATAAGTAGCAAAGCTAATATCAATGTTCAAATAGTGACTCTACTAGGAATTAAAATTCAATGAGATATGGGCCAGGGATTTAGCTCAGTGGTTCAGCCACCTGCCTTGCAAGTACAAGGTCCCAAATTCTATCCCTGGTACCAAAAAAGGAAAAAAAGGAGGGGGTCAGGGACTTAGCTCAGAGTTTTTACTGCCAGCTTCACAAGCGCAAGTTCCTAAGTTTGATCCCCGGTACCATGGGTAGGGAGTGTAGCTCGAAGATAAGAGAGCTCATGCCTAGCATGGGCAAGACCCATGGGGGGAAAAGATGTATATAAAGTATACAGTGCTCCTGTGCTCCGTAAATGTTAGATGAGTCTTTTCATTAAATGTATGTTATCAGAAATATGTCCATCATTTGGTGCCAGTGTTATGGACAAGCCATTTTGTTTGGATAAGTGAGGACATTAGTGTGGGGGATGCAATCAGTGAAGAAAGTGAAAGAGCACTTCTAACGTCAGACTAGAAAATACAGACCTGGGTCTGGACATACAGGAGTAACAGGAGCTAGCTACATGAGCAATGGCCTCTGAAATAAAACTTGCCCCCTCCTCCCCTCCCCATTTACAGAGGGGGTGAAGGGAGGGCAGGGACAAGGGGAAAAAATGAGAATCAAGACCAATATATTATGTAAAGGTACAGAATCCCAATGATGAACGTAACTGTATTGTATACCTAGATTGCACCAATAAACTCAATAAAAAGAAAAATAAATAAATAAAACTTGCCTACCCTCCCACAACAGTTCCCAGAGAGATAAGAGAAGGACACATGTTATGTCTACTGCTCCCAAGCTAGCCAAGGTTATCTGGGTCAGATTAAGGCTTGACTGTAAAAGCCCAGAGGCTAAGAAGAGAATATCTATCTTGCAATAGAAATAGCTTGGGTGATTTAAATTTTTTGGTTTTGGTCTTTTGTTTGTTTGCAGTGCTTACAACAGAGCCCAGGGCCTTTCACGTAGTAGGCAAGTGCTCAAACACTGAGCTATACCCCACCCCCTTTAATACACATCTTTAAACCACTGCAGTAATATGTCAAGTAATCACATTATCAAAGAAATTGTGAGTCTTCTGTACAAAAACAAAACACTATGATTTCAAGGCCTGAGTTTTACAATTGTATGACTTCATTGAACTAAAAGAAAAAAGGTATTAGCAGAGCTCAGCTTTAATGAATGAAAGAGTGTTAAGGATTTCACAAATTCATACAAGAGATGATTATAAAAACAGAAATTTATAAAGGTCCCAGTACAAAAAAACAAAGAGAAAATTATAACTAGGCATGATGGTCCATGCCTTTTATCCCAGCCTTTGGGAGGCTGAGGCAGGAGGATTGCTATGAGTTACAGGCCAGCCTGAGCTACAAAATGAGCTCATGACTACCCCCAACTACATAGTAAGACTATCTTAAAAAAAAAAAAAAATTATAATACAGACTGCTTTGTGGTGACACAGTTTTCTACCTACACATAGAGGAGAAATCCAAATAGGTAAGCACTCCCAATCCTACCTAGAAAGGGAACAAGGACAGCTTCCTAGGAGAGGTGAGAACTGTATCTCCAATCTGGCAAAGGAAAAATGTTGTTCCAGAGGGAAAAGCATGTTAGACTCAGTAAACAGTCTCATTGTTGTCTTGCTGTGGCTACTCTGTAAGGCAGGTATGGCAAGGCTAGGCTGACTGGGGCTGGCAATTTTTATCTCTAGTTTTGGAGGCTGATTATTTTCCAGCTAAGTCTTATTTTGGGGGAAAACACCAACCCAACCTCCAAGCTGTTTTCTTTCTGCAATGTTAACATGTTGGATAACCAAGACTCTGAGAATACAGATACGTTATAAAACTTGAAACACCACACTTAATACACTGCTTGTATGTTTCACAGTTAAGAGTTTTTGTTTTGTTTGATTTGGTAATGGGGGACTGACCCCAGGACACTACCACTAAAATACATTAACCTTTTGGTGGTGGTGGTACCAGGAATTGAACCGAAGGTCTTTGCACGATCTACATCCCAGCCATTTTTTAATCTTGAGACAGAGTTCATTAAATTGCTAAATTGGGTTTGAATTCTCAATCTTCCTGTCCCACCCTCCCAGTGTGCTAGGATTACAAGTTTCTGCCACCATGGCTGGCTTTTCATTCTATGACACAGTGTCTCACCATGTTGCCTTGAAGTTGCTGTTCTCCTGCCTTGGCTGCCCTGAGTGTTAAGATTACAGGCATGTGCCACTGTACTTAATTTTTAAAAATCAGAATTGCCAGGCATGGTGGAACATGCCTGAAATTCTAGTACTTGGGAGGCTCAGACAAGAGGACTGCCATGAGTTCACCACTAGGCTGAACTATGTAGAGACCCTGTCTCAATACATAAATAAAAATCAGGGCCAGGGATTTAGCTCAGTGGTGCAGCAGCCTGCCTCATATAAGCGCAAAGTCCCATGTTTGATCCCTGGCACGCATGCAAAAAATTTTTTAAATAAATGCAGCTTATGATTCTAGACTGTGTACTGGAGCAGAAAAAAAGGTATTATGTTTATTTTTGCCTCAGTAAAAATATTATAGGACCAATTGGCAAAATCTAAAGATTTGTAGACCAGAAAATAAGTGAATAAATTCACTTCCTAAGAATGTTCTAATTTTAAGAAATACAAAGATTTAAAGGAAACATGCCTGCAATTTACTCTCCAGTAACTCAGCGAAAAATTATAGCCAACAAGATAGCAAATGTTGCAAAATATTTTTTAGAAGTGATGCATATATAATAATTCTTTGTATGTCTTGCTACTTTTCTATAAATCTAAAATTATTTTTAAACTAGGCATGATGGCAGATGCCTATAATCCAAGCATTCAGGAGGCTGAGGCATGAGGATTTCTACAACTTCCAGGCTTGCCTGGGCTATGTAGTTATAAGCACTGGGACCTGACCTGATGGGGGGTCCTGCCTATGAGGGGCACTGTTGCCATAGTTAGCAGAAGCAACACTGGGGCAACACTGTTCTGTCTCTTTAGGAGACTTTATTATTCACAAGCATGGTTTGTTACTACCATTAGCAGTGCCCAGTCACCATTGTCATGAACACTGCATGGCTGGTGTTTCCACATTGTACCCGCATAGAAGTGAAGAGCTTTTTTGTCTGCCGAGCACCACGTAAAGGACTGAGGACCAGACTGGGCCCTCAAACTTCAATAATCCTATGACATAGGTACAACTGATCATTCCCACCTTTTAGATATCACCTGCTTTAAGTAATACGGCAATGTGCCAGACTCTGGACACAAACCCACCACTGTTCCAAAAAAGGCTTACGGTGGATACAAACTGTGACCTCTTCCCCAGTGTGTCCAGCATATTCTCCCATTACCACAGGGCCTGGAGACACTCAGATCCCAGCCTAGCACCATTCTAAGAAAACACAGTAATAATTACAAGGTCTCCCCCAGCAAGCAAGGCAACACACCCCAGTGCCCCTCACCTGTGGGGCTAGTCCACCTCCTCTCTTAGAATTTCGAGGCCAGGGCTGCTTATTTTGCTTCATCTTGTCCTGGCATTTGCTACAGAACTGTACACAATGGCTTAATTGGGCAGCTAAGGCCCCTTGAGTCTCAACACTACAGAGGGAGGAGTTTGGGGCAGCCTCTTGCGAATTGCCAGTTGTCTCACTATGACAACTCAACTGGGCCGTTCTAGCCCAAGATAATTTTCCCATCTCATTCCTGAAACTTCTTCCCTCCCCAGGGAGGGGGCCAGACTTTGGGAACCTGACCTTCTTGACCTTTTGGCTAAGATCAAGTATGGTTATCTGTTCTTATCAATTTAAGAGCCAATACATCCTTTATCCATGAAAATATAGATGTTTGCAGCAAGGAGATGGAAAAAAAAAGCTTGCTCTACTCTTCCAATGCATCAAGTTGATATTACAGTGCTTCCAAGAATGGTGCATCTTACCTCAAAGAAGAAAAAAAAGAAAAATAGGCAACTATCAAAGACATAGCCATGGGCCAGGGATTTAGCTCAAGGGTGCTGTCACCAGCCTCACAAGCACAAAGACCCAAGTTCATTCAATCCCCGGTACCCAAAAAAAGATATAGCCATGATTATAACCCATGTCATAAACGAAGAAATGAGGACCAGACATAATGGCACACGCCCATAATCCCAGCACTTGGGGAGGTTGAGGCAGGAGGATCACTGTGAATAGAAGGCCAGCCTGGGCTACTTGGTGAGTTCAAGACCAGCCTAGCTAAACTACATGGTAAGTCCCTGACTCGACCTCAATACCGCCCCCCAAAAAATGAGGGCTCATAGAAGAACCAGGTCTCATTTTTTGCTAAATTGAACTACCCTGTGCATCCCATCTACACCTTACTCCCTTGGAGAGGTTTTTTCCTTGGTTCTGGACTCAGGGTTCGTCTACGTGGTTATGGAAGAAAAAGGTCTGCTGAGGGGTGTCCCAGACATCAAGCCTTTAAATGAAGGGTTGGAAACCAAGGATTAGATATTCAGTGTGGTTCCCTAAACCAGCAGCATCCATCCAATTCGTAGAGCTCACACTACATTTGTTAGAAGAGAAATTGAGAGGGGTCAAAGGGGATCATAGCAATCAGTTATCGGAAACCCCGCAGAGGCTGCTGATTCATTGGAGTCTTGCCCTAAGTGCCCAGGGCATCCCACTATGCTTGAATGAATGAATGAATGAATAAATGAATGACTGCCAGCAACCCTTAGACTTTAGCCAGCACACAGCCCCACCCTGACCCATCCCATCCACTGACCTGCAGAACAAAAGGAAAATCAGACTGCTATAGAGAAATACTGATTTTAATTAAACAGAATATGGTAAACTCTAGGTGTCCATCGTTTGGCCTAAAAATTAGCAAAAACTGTTGAAACAAGGCACAGTATTCTCCCCATACTTGTTACGTGGCTCCACTTACAGAAAACATTTTAATGAAAACCTTAACATAAAAATAGAAGTCTGAGATTTTTTTAAAACTGTATATAAAGCCCCACAAACTTGTCAAAGTTGTTCCTTATTCTACAAAATAGCACCAGCAAAAAGAGTAAAAAGGTGTTAAAAAACCATTGGGACAGCATTTCTGAAATGCAGCTTGTTTGACCTCCTGTTGCCCTAAAAAATGATGTACAATGGAATAAAAAAGGATTTTAAAATCTCTGGAAGGAGGATCAAGCTTTTTATTGCAGTTCCCACCATCTCTTAGATGAAGGGTCAATGTGAAAAATGTGCTTCTGCTTCTGACTGTCAGAGCTTCTTAAGTCTAGAAGATGGATTAGGGGATTAGGGTATCAGGCTTCTTGTCAGAGGACCTGTGCCTATAGCGGGTACATCTTTTCTTGGGGGAGGGGGGCTCTTGTCTAATTTCTTCCCTCCTTCAGATCTCTCACATAAGACGGATATGGTGAGGGGAAGAACTTGCCCTCCTAATACATGGCAGCTTGTAAGATAGATTCAGCTACCCTTTCCTGAGTTCCTTGGAGGGTTCTATTGCAATTATGGGGAGAGATTTAGCTAAGGGTGGCCCACACTGCTCTTAGGTTTGTGGGGAAAAGTAGCCCTGAATGTGGTAATGATGACATCATCCTGCTGAAATCATCATCATCATGGGAAATACTCTAAAGGTAGACCCCAACCCTTTGCACAGAGGCAGGGAAACATGCTGGGTAAAATTCAAGAAAGACATAAACATCACTTCCTCTAGCCCAAGAAAACGACATCCTGGGCCTTTAAAACGTCCCTCAACTATGTGTCTACAACTGGAAGCACCTGTAAACATGGAGTTGCAGACATTTCTAAAAAGGTTTGCAGTAACTGTCGGGTTATTTTGCAGCATTAACCTGAGTCTTGGAGAGCTGTCAGCACTGTAGTTTTGGTATCTTAGCTATCATTTCTCTGAGTGGTATACCCAGGAGAGGGGAGAAAAACATTTTACTATCTACTTCAAGTTTTAAAGTTTTACGAGAAGAAAAATGAGCACCATGTTTGGCCACTCTGAGCAGCCAGGTCTGAATTGTGCAAGAGAGGGTCAGGTATCTGCTCAGACTGAGCAGGAGAAAACTGAGGTACAGTGAGACCCGACACAGCTAAGCTGAGGAAGGGCAGAGCTGGGGGCAGCACCTTCAAGGATCAGGGAACCTCTGTGGCCCTCGCTCTGCCCCTCAGTGCCCCAGCAGGCATGGGCAGAGCTATTCACATGCAAAGTAGTCCTTCAAGGGGGCGAAGAGGTGTCTGATGACGGGCACACTCCAGGACCTCCCGAGCAGCTTCTGGCGGGCACCACGGCCCATGTTGGACACGTCCGTGTAGTGTACAGGAAAGCCGAAGATCCTGGGAGAGCACCGGGGTGAAAAGACAGGGAGTCAGAAGTGCCCAAACCACCCAGGAGCCTCTGGAAGTCCTCACTTTGGCCGAGTGGCTAGTTATACTCTCTGCTGTGGCTTTCCCTTCTCAAACCCCTTTAGCCACGCCCACTGGGCCATCAAATGAGCCCTTTCCTGACTGCCAGGAGTACTTGCTGGCCAGTGTCTGGTCAATGAGGACACTTTTTTGGTGCATCCCAGCACTAGCACTATGTTCTTGGCACATATCTGGTTTGCTTAGGGGACTTTTCTTGAATGTATCACATGAATTAATAATTATGAATAAATGCCAAGCAACCACTTTTTTCCAAACACAGTGATGGGATAAGTTAAGCATTTTCTGTGGAGGAACAAGCTCACTCACAGAAACAGACCAGAAGAATGTCAACCATCACAGACTCACACAAGTTACAGTGAGTATTCCTAAGCACCCCAATTTTGTATATAGGTTTGACCAGGCCTGGTAGGAGGGTACAGATAATGCTGGATCCCAGTATTACCCAGCTTTACAACTTGATAAACTCTTTCATTATGTAGGCGCAAGACCTACACAGTGACAGATATCTGCACCACTCTCCCAGGACAGCTCCACTCAAGACTATTATATGTTTGGATTTCAAAATCCAGAAGAAACCACAGCACAGATTGGGCAAAACTACCCTTCAATTTTTCTAAGATATCTATTGTTAGGTGAAAGAAGAAATAAAACCAGAGCTGAATTGTCTGGAACAGTCTTTGGAATACAGTCAAACATATAAAGAGGAAAATTTATAGCCTTACATGTAATACCAGCAAATAATTATTTTTAAAAGTAAGAGAAGATGGGGATTTAGCTCAGTGGTACCACACTTGCTTCATAAGCACAAGGTCCTGAGTTGGATCCCCATTACGAAAAAAAAACCAAAAACAAACAGCAGCAACAAAAAGAAAAAAATCCAGAAGACCTGAAATCAGACATGGCTCTTTGTATTTAAAGAAACAAATTCGGCCTAATAAAGGGTAAAGAGAGAAGACAGGGTACGGCTTAAGCAGGAATCCACTGTAGGATTAACAATTTGACAAATAATTCTTCCAGGGAAGAGTGATGGAGTTCTCTTCCACTGGTTCTTCCTACATCCTGTGACTCAGCCTGTCTGGACCGGAAGATATGAGGTGGTGCTATCTCATGACGTCACGACTCATTCCTCACCACTACCACCTGCCATTTCCGCTGGGAATCCTGGCTCACGGAACAGGCTCTGTATTTACTCCCAGACCCATGCCCAGGTGGCAAGCACCTTAATTTATCTGTGGCAGCCTGGACTGTATGTTGCTCCCCTTTCTGTCTCTGAGCCATTTCCCTCTCCAAGTGCAGCCTTGCTCACCTCTCGAGCTCAGTGCACCACAAAACATCTTCTTTGCCATTCATGACAACAGGGAAAAGTTGGTTTTTCCCCTGTCTGATCGAGTTCGACTTGGTGGTTATTGTCTGTACTTTCTTTAACTGGAGAACAAAACGATACGGAGTGAGCACAGAAGGAATGGTTGCAGGTGAGGTCAAGACACAGAAGTGCCCAAAGCAGACGGAGAAGGAGAAAGGGTGCAGGAAAAGTGGCAGAGCTGGGCTTGCAGAAGGAATGAAAAAGATTTTAAGGGACTAAGAATAAATATTTTGTGCTTCCCGCAAATGCCAAGAAGTTTGGGAACAGGAAGGACCAGCCTCAGAATAAAGTTAACAAAATGTGACCATGAGTGAGATCACTTGGGGGACAAGGTGACATCAGAATTACTAATCAAGGAAGACTAAATAAAAAGGAAAAACCACCCACATTCAGAGAATGGTCAATCTCAACTTGGACAAATGGATCTTTGCTTGACGCAGATTTTTTGTTTGTTTGTGTTTTTGTTTTTTTGAGACAGTCTCACTATATAGTTGAGACTGACCTGGAACTCACTATGTGTCCCAAGCTGGTCTCGAAATCAGTGATCCTCCTGCCTCAGCCTCCCGAGTGCTGGGATTACAGGCATGCACAACCACACCCGGCCGCTTGATGCAGAAATTAAGAATTACATTTTAATGTATTAACTGTGACTGACACCATTTTATTTTGTTTTGTATGCAAAAGTATCAATTATTCTTTTATTAATGGAAGGGGCAGATGAATTCTGTCTGTGTATCCAGTGTTAACAATTAGGAAGTCTAGTTGCCTTTTCTCACAATGATTACATGTTTATCAAGAATGCCTCCTCTCTGTAGGTGAAAAAGGGATAAACAATTATGTGGGGAGAAAGGGCCAGCACCAGGGAGTCACATGTGGAGGAGTAGGATCAAATGGACACCACACCAAGGTCACCAAGTGCGTTTCCCAGAGAACGGCAGTACAGGCCATTTAGAAGCAGGTCTTACCTTTGCTGTCCTACTGTATTCCAAGCAGTCCTGAAGCTCGAGTTTATCATTCTTTGATGCTATCACAGGCCTGGGAACAGCCAAAACCCATTACTCTGCAGAGGGACCTCAGCTAGGCACCTCACAGGGCAAGTAGGGGGAATGACCTCCATTGCAAAAGTGTGCCCTGGTGGAGAACAGGCTACAAATATTCTCCTCAACCGCCAGGATTGATATATCAATCCTGCCATGTGCACAAGTCCACATGCTATGACAGAAGGTGTCAGCCCACTGTAGGGTGCAACTGCAGCTCTTCCTCAACTTATTTTAAGACAGGGTCTCTCTCTGAAGTTCAGGCTGGCCTCAAACTTGCCAGGAAGACTCTGTGCCCACCCCTCACAGTACTCACTGGCTGAGGGGCCTTGAGCAAGTCATGCCACCTCCTTGGTCTTCAGGTCTATTTTAGGGATTTCTTAGGGATGGAACCCAGGGCCTTGCAAATGCAAAGCCAGTGCTTAACCAGAAACACCCCCACCGTGCCTTGTCTGCTTTATTGTGAGAAGCATTAACTACATCTTTGTGGGTCTACTTGATACCACTAGCCAAGTCCCATCCCTAAGATCTGGTGGCTCAGAGCGAGCGCAGGTGTGTTAGTGGTTGCCACCCTTTTGGGAAGGCCATACAGGCTTTTATAAAGACTCACACACTTCCACCCTAGTTTATTTTGCAAATGCAGAGTGGTGAACATAGCCTAGAAGAGCAAGGGATAAGAAGCAAAAGGTGTTGAGCAGCTCCAGAGCAGAAACCAGGTAAGAGGTCTACACAAGCACCACAGTAAGCCTTCTGGGATGTTCAAGGCCAAAAGGACATCAGACTTGAGAATGAAAAATACCTATGACGAATCAAGAAATCCAATCGTTCCCTACACTCTGCGGACTTCCTTAGTTAGTCTCACCTTCCAGGTTACCATGAGCCAAACCTTCCTGCAGGGACCAAAGGGAGCTGAGAAACTGGGTCAGCCCAGTCTTGTGCAAGTTTGAGGAATTAAAATCTTCACAAAATAGCCAGGGGTGGTGCTGGTGCACACCTATTATCCCAGCACTCTAGGAAAATGAGGCAGAAGGATTTTAAATTCTTATCCAGCCTAGTCAATTTAGCAAGTAAGCAAGACCCTGTATCAAAATGAAAAATAAAAAAGGAATAGGAATATTGTACTCCCAAGACCCTGGGTCTAAAACCCAGTACACAAAAGGAAAATAAAACCTGCATAAACCAGATTATTTAGGTTTCATGCAGAGTGATGCTCAACATGCCCAGCCTATTACCTTGCAAGGATCAGCTGCCACTACCCATTCTTTCTGTTTGACCATCCAATGCATAAGCAAATTACTGCATGTCCTACCCTTAACGTGTCTCAACTGTGGGCTTCTCTTATTACTTTCTCCACATGACCAGCATGCTATAAACCCGAGCCACCACTCACTTGTATTCTCCATTGATCACTCCCGCAGAGGCACAGCATAGTATCATCTGCCCTAAGTCGAGATACCCCCACCACGAATTCCTATCCCTCCCCTTCTGCCTGGAATTTTTTAGTAACTACCTGGCTCTACGTCTTCATTCAGAGCTGGACTGTCCTGGAACAGAGGTCTTCCAATGCCCACCTCCCCAGCCATGCAACTGTCTACCTTTCTGCCAGGAGCACATCACCGCTACAAAGACAGTGACATCGGCGTTGTCTACCACTGAAATGGCAGCAGCACAACAAATGTTAGGTGAATAGGCCCATTTCATTCCAAACATGGGCAGGGTATCATTTGATTAGCTGATCAGCAAGTTAAAAGGTCACAGATACCCAACAGAAAGCTTCCAAACCACCCCAACAAGTACTTACTCTGTGCATACTTTGCTAAATGCCAGAGAATGATTGTGGGTCCAACACTTCCTTCTAAAGAAATTGTTCTAAAGCTTGACTCATTTGCAAGTCTAAGCGATCGCTTTATCATCGTATTTTGCATCTTAGCGAATCCTCAGCAAACAAAGCCACTTGACTTGCTTTTTGTCTAAACATATCTAACCAAAGAGCACTGAAGTACCTTTGGTATATGACAAAAAGGTGAGGGAGTCTTTTGACTAAGAAAATCTGAAGGAGACAGGATTTAGGCTACCATGCCATCTCAGCCCTACCTTGAGGTTTGGAATCACCAGACTGATCCAGCTTCATGTCTGGGACAGGAGAAATGAACCTTTAACAACCTATTTCCATCTCCTATTAAGGTATTGCCATAGCAGCAGGGAAAACACAATAGAGTGTAGAAGCAACAATTCACATCCTCACATTCATCTGGCCCATCTGCAGCTAGAACAATTGAATAGTAGCCCTAAGGGATCCATCCTGACAGATTCCCATGTATTTCAGCACATCAGTAACAGATCACTACAGCGCAGGTTGGTCTGAAGCCCAGGATGGGGCTGTTTCTCACCACAGCCATCAGTGTCTAGAAAGCTGGAATAACAAAGGTGACACTATTGGCAAATATGGCTGTGAGCTGTCCCACTCATAGCTCTGTGTTACCTGTTCATCCCAGGTAAGTTCCCCCAGAAGTATCGGGCCCTGTGAGCAGCAGAGACCTTGATAGCATCGATCATCACTGGATTACACTGCAGGGAGACAGGAAGGGAGCTGCTAGGAGCCCTCATCAGAATTCAGGCATCAATCAGAGAAAGGCTTGAACCTGTGCAATTGACAGGCAGAACCCTGGCTAGAAAAAAGGCATGTATCCAACCAATGAGAAAAGAAACAGACTCAGTTCCCATCATATGTCTGGCTAGAGACACACTCATCTCTCCCACAATAAAGAGTTTTGATCTGACCCAAATTCTAAGAATCCCCTGTGTCATAAAATGACAAAATGGGCTACCAAGGTAAAAGTACTAATTCTATCTATCACACCAGACCTAAGCTGCCACTTCTTTTGGAGAACGGAGTTTAGTGTACAGCAGGTACTTAACGATAGGGCTTCACAGATATTAAGCAATGTATACTTCCTTTACCCTAAAACAACCATTTTCAGAAAAGATTAGAAAAAACTCTCTAGGCTGAAAGCTGAGTCCATGGGTTTTAGTAGTATTAGCAGTAACTGTTTCGAATGCACTAAAAGGACCCACAGAATTGTGCACTGCCAGATCTAACCCATACCCTCTTGAGCAACAATCCCTCACCACCTAAGTTGTCTTTAACAATCAGGTCCCGGGGTTCCCTCACCTCCAGGAATCGTGAGATGTCCCTTTTGTCGCCAACCTTCATAGCTACAACATTCTCAAACATCCAGAAGAATGGCCGGTCATCCCCCTCTTTGGGGCGTGAGTAATTCAGCAGGTGATAGAACTCAAAGAAGAGTCGGCCAGTGCCCTCTGTTCAGGAAAAACCAAGAACAAAGAGCGAGGCTTTCACCGTACATATTTCCTGAGTCCCACAGGTCCCAATCCCCGATGTCCAATCAACTAGGGCACTCTGCAATGATGACACGGACACAGGAAACAATGTACCATTTGTCAGTGTCCTTCCTAGGGTCTGGGCTTTACAATGGTACATGGAACTAAGGACCAAAAGGTTCCCAGTTAGGGTTGGACAGGAGAGAAGAGTTCCTTCTCACGAAGCTCTACTCAGATCAGGCATCATAGGGTCTTCTTAGGGCCTCCAGACATGAGGAGTGCTCACCATAAAGGCCTTTCCTGGCTGGATTCACATTTGAGAGGTCATTGCATGGGCTTCCACCAATCACTAAGTCAAACGGGCCCCACTCTTCAATCTGAAAGAGAAAAACAGGCTCAGAGCAGAAATAGGGTAGAGAAGGACAGAAAGATAGGATATTCAAGCTATTATCAAAAAACCCAATTCTAGGGCTGGGGATTTGGCTCAGTGGTGCCACTGCCTGCCTGGTAAACACAAGGGCCCAAGTTGATCCCCAGTACCCAAAAAACAAAAAATCTACAATCTTGCTTGATCAGCAGCAACCCTACCTCTAATCCAAGAAACTGGCTCTGTATCTCAATGAAAGATATTAGGTTCTATTCCCAGTTCCACCAAAAAAAAAAAAAAAAAAAAAAAAAAAAAAAAAAAAAAAA